ATTTATAAAAATCTTATGTATCATTGTGGAACATGGATTGCCAAGATAGTCATGCCACAACATAAAAGTTATCCGGTCAATGAACTTCTGGTTCATAATACCATAATCTTCAACTACTTTTAATAGTTGTGTAATATTGGGGCCTCATAAACTTCTGGTTCATGACATCATAAACTTCCTATATTGTAATGTTTGTGTAATATTCGGGCCTCATGAACTTCTGGTTCATGACATCATAAACTTCTTACCAACAAAAGAAAGTTGGAAGTTTCTGGTTGTCAATATTGGGGCAGTAATACAAGACATTACCATTGTAAAATGAAATTAACTAAAAACCCAACATAAATAAAATAAAATAAAATAAAATGAGTAAAGTGGTATAAACGAGGAATAAAATAAATAAATTAAAGACTATGAAATTCCAAGATAATCCAATATTAATGTGGATTCAATATGTAGATAAAACTACAAGTTTAAGAATTGGATTTCCATCCAATTCAAGTTCATATAGGCACAAATAAGTAATGAACTTCAGGTTCATGTATAGTATTAAGATCCATGAAAAACTATGAACTTCAGGTTCATATCAATATATATTCGAAACTTCAGGTTCGAATACGTAGATCTAAATAAATTGAATTAATAGTTGTGCTTTGAACTTCATACTCAAATCGATGTATATGCACTCAAAACTTCTGGTTCGGGTTCTTGACATATGTAGGCCTCATGGAATTCTGATTTTGATTAATACAAAATTGAGGAGTTTCATTTCCTTAAGTGCTCTTTAAATTCGCGGAACTTCACGCCAAAAAAAACTTCAAGTTCTGATTCAATCAAAAGAACTCTAGGTCCAAATCTAGTTATATGACGAGGATCGAGGAACCTAGAGCCCTGATCTTTTGTATAATACAAACTCATCATAATAATTAAGATCATACTTAAAATTAAATAAACAAACAAATATAAAAAACATGGCATTATATTCATGTGTAATAAGAATAAGAATTTTTTTTCCTTAAACGAGCATGATGAAGTCTGATGGTGAGTATAAAGAAACTCTATACCATGTGATGACTCTAGCTCATATAAGAAGAATGAAAATTCAGAGAAAGAAAACATACCAAGAGCAATGTCGTTCTGATAACGTGTTATAAAACTAGAGGGAGAAAATGTAGAGAGAAGTGATATGCTAAAGATAAAGTTTCACCATGTTTATTCTTCTCTTAATCTTTGGTAGAACCACCTATTTATAGGCTTACAAGATAGGAGATTGAATACCATCATTTACAATATACCTATAGGTTACAAGCACTAATTACAAATACTTAGTGCATAGGTTACATAAAATCCAACGGTGGAATACTAAGAGGTATGGTGGTCATCCACCAACTCACGCATTTACAACATGCAAAGGAATAAATAATTTTGTAATAAACTGCAGAATTTTATTTATTTATGAATTTTAAGAATATTGCTCTTGTAGCTTCACTTCTCCCGCTCTCTCTCTCGGGCTCCTCCACTTCCATCATTAATGTTCTAATTAAGTACGTACACGGTACACACCGTTGATTAGATTGTATCTAATTACTTAATTATCTCTATTCAGATTAACTTCATATAATTAAGATCAGAGTTAATCTAAGGCAACGCGCAAGTCCATATATGGCAGACAAAGAACCGCGGAGGCCTCCAATGGTGAGACCGTTGATAGCATCGGCATGGCTTACGACGAGTACGACAATAATGACGTACGTAAACCAGCGATTATGAAAATAGTAGTATTTGCCTACTAAGTATTCCCTAGAAGGAGACATGCATCAACATGAAGAATGAATTATTCCTTCATGAGCATCTGAACAGTATTTTAGATGAACGAGAAACACGTAGTGTCTTCCTGCTTTCCTGCTTTACTTTCAACACTTGTAAAGCACTACTGTACTGTGGGGCATTTATCTTTGATAACTAAGGTGGAATAAGGTTCTGAGAAAACAAAGATGGCAGACTAATGTTTCTTTTTCTTTTCCGAAATCAGTTTCACGTGGACTAGTTGGACTCGGCTGTCAGGATTTGTGGTGGATTTCACAGTTACATCATTATTTGACGTTTGACGAGACGATCAATTTGGCTTAATTGAACTATGTAGTCATCAGGAGTAGTGGTATATGTTGTATATATGTGATAGGTTTTTGAACTATGACAGAACTGTTAAAGTAAGATGTATCTTAAGGTTTTATGAAAAATGCAAGTTTTTAAGTATGAATAGTCCATTTGGACGTCAATATATCCAGGTTGTACGTAAACATAAAACGTCGATTTACCTTAAAACAGCAACATAGAAACAAGGATGACACTTCAAATTTATTTTAAAACATAGACGTAGTAACGCTAGAACTACGTCCATTTTTATTTATCAAATCGACATCGTAAGATTCATTCCACGTAAAGTAAAAAAGACACAATATTTAACGAGGTTCGGCCTTACCTACGTCCTCGGAGAGCAACATCAGTAATTTTTCTACTATGTAAAAGAATAAGACTATAACTTTAGTGTTTACAATACGTGTGGCTCACTGATGTTTTTCTTTTGGAGAATTTCTCTTTGCTCTTTTTTCCTCTTCACTCACTCACCCTCCTTGTTCCCTTCCTTTCTTTCCTCTTTACCTGGGCTCTCATTTCTTTTCAGATGGTGTGTCCCACGCAAGGGAAGGATGAAGCCTTTTTATAGGCAAAGTTGATAGCTTCCCGTGGATGTGTAGTTGGCTCTCAAGGGAATATAGCAGACAAACTTCATCACTATTTTTCTTCAATCAATTAGACAGTGGGCTCTATCATTTTTGGGCTCACATTCTTGACTTTTCAACAAATTATTGAATATGAACGAGAACAGTGTCTTCCTGCTTTACTTTCAAGACTATTAAAGCAAGCTATTGTTCCATCTCTCTCCCTCTCTCTCTCTCTCTCTCTCTCTCTGTGGCTCCAAATATGGCTGACAAAGAACTGGGCGAGGCCACGGTGAGACCGCAGGCTGATAGTGTCAGCATGGCTGATGACAATGACGACAATGTCAATACAAAGGAGTGTCAATACAAAGCAGGGGTAGATGTAGAAAATGGGGCGCAATTTGGAAATGTTTGTACTAGGTTGGAACGGAGTGTAAAGGAACTACTATCAATGCAAATAGGAGCGCATCATCAAACAGGGGACTTTGAGGATCCTGATAACTTGCGCTTGTACCAGCAGCTGTACAGATATGCAACTGAGGGTAAGAAGGGTATCTTTAACGACACTATTGCAAAGAAGCTTCATGATCCAAATGCTAGCATTCAGCTTCTGTCTCGACGGAGCCCCGAGAATAACACATTTGTTCACATAGCTGTGACCTTCGGCCATGCCCAACTAGCGGCTGAGATCTTACAACTTCACAAGCCTCTTTTGTTAGAGAAAAACTTTGAGGGCGACACTGCGCTTCACATTGCGGCCAAAACCGGAGATGTAGATACCACAAACACTCTTCTCCGTGAAGCACGAGGAACAACAGATGTTGAAACTAATGATGATGTATTGACGTTGCTAAGGATGTGAACGAAACAAGTGCCCTACCCGAGCCTTTGTTTGGAGGTCACCAATCAGCAGCCAAGCGTTTGATAGAGGCCGATCCTGCCGTTTCACTGTATACTAATAAGGAACAAAAGTCCGCTTTGTATCTGGCCGCTGAACAAGGACTTGTTGAGATCCTGAAGATCATGAATGAAAGAGCAGTTGACAAGAACACACAAATTCAAGGCAATTCCCCTTTGCTTGCTGCAATTCTTGGATGCCATAATAAAGGTACGTACATTCAATTAATAATTCTTTTTTTTTTTTAAATTAAATTTTTGTTTATACTTGATTCATTTTCTGACGCCAGAAGTCCTAAAGATAATATCAAACATGGAAGCAAATATCTTGAACTCAAAAGATGAGAAAGGGAGGACTCCACTGCATTGTGCAGCATCAATTGATTATCTAGATGGGGTTCGTTTCTTATTAGAAATACGCCTCTCTGATTCTCATCAAATGGATCATGGTGGCAACTTTCCAATCCATTCAGCATCAAGCAAAGGTCATGTCAAGATTGTTAAAGAGCTGCTTCGACATTGTCCCGATTCAAGGGAATTGAAGAACTCAAGTGGCCAAAATATACTCCATGTTGCAGCAAGATTTGGCAAAGACAATCTTGTCAAATATTTTCTCAAAAACGGCGAGTTTCGAATGTTGATAAACAAAAAAGACAACTTAGGAAATACTCCTTTGCACTTGGCAACGATGTACCATCATCACAAGGTTGTGTACCTTTTGACTTGGGATAGAAGGACCAACTTAAAGGTCGTGAATGGTAGGGGCATGACAGCCCTTGAAATTTCAGAAAGCACTTTGGAAACCACTGCATCATCTCATGGGGTAAGTTTGTGCTATATATACTCTTATCATATATTCCTCATATGATGATGATTTTCGGGAATTCCTTGTCTATTTAGTTAGTGTGTTAGGTACAAGTCCGCATTTAGTCCTGGTTGGTATATTGAGTTTGTGTTTAAACTGCTGGTATTGAGTTCCCAAATGACGTGGGTTATATGTTCACAAACTATATCACACCTATCTCTTATCACTCTTAAATAAATTGAACAAAGAACTAAAAAGGAGAAAATAATAAATGAGAAAACACGGAAAATAGTTAGATTTTATTGATTGCAACTCTATGACTAATATAAATCAGCTGGAATGGAGCATTTCATTAAAATATCCTTGATTTTTAGCATTTATGTTTAATCCCTATTATTTGGGCATCTAATCAATAAAAAAAGGATTCGACCAAAACAAAATCAAGAAATACAGTATACCTAAATAAAAATAAAGGTTGATTACACTTTAGTACCCTATGGTTATATTCTTATGATATGTTAGTCCCTACTTTCTAAATTTTTACAATAACATACCCCGATCTTTTAAATTTATTACAATGTGGTTCAGTTAGATCTCTGCATTAGTTGTCTACATGGCACTATGAGTCCCACATTTTATTTTTAAATTTTTTTTAAAACTGATTAAAATATTAAAAAAAAAATTAAAATTGTTTATTTCTCTCTCTCCACCCTAACGGAACCACATTGTAACAAATTTACAAGACCGGGATATCTAACTGTAAAAATTAAAAAGATAGGAACTGACATGTCTTAAGAGTATAACCATAGGGTACTAAAGTGTAATGAACCCTAAGAATAATATTTTAGTTGAACAATGACAATATACTTAATATACAAATTAGTCTTTGTCGAAAATATATTACTTAGATAATTGTCCGTTGGAAAATTATAGTGATACACAGGTAAATAATTACTGAGTAACTTACATATATTCTATAGGTAGATTAATTTAATTAGATGGTATAGGAAAATGATATACAAAATATGGCGATACGTGGGTAAATAATCACTAGTATTGTACCTATATTTCGTAGGTATATACTAATTTAATAGACTATATATGTAAATTTTCGAATTAGGCTTTAAAGGTAAATTATTTAGATTGTATAGGTAATTTACCTATATTTTGTAAAAAGATAGGTACGTCATTTACATTTACATATATAGATAAGTAAAAAGGTATAGGTTCACTATTTATCTATACGCACCTATATTTTTCAGGTCCCTAATTTACCTAGATTATTTAAGTAAATTATTTACCTATAATTATTTATGTTTTTCGCAAAGACTTCGTATATTAATTTACCTATATTTTTAAGTACAATGATTTACTTATATTTGAAAATACAATTTAAAATAGGTACATAATAATTTTGAATTTAAAAGAATGAATACATTAATCTATAAACGAAATTTGAATTAAAGAGAATTGGTAACAATTGATGGAATGAAAATTGAATATATTGCGCAAAAATAAAAAAATAAAAAATCCCACACCGAAAGAAGACAAAGAAACAAATAAGAACATTAAATGTCACAAATTTGGTAAGGTGCCTGTAGTGTGTGTAACTCCATTAGTGTTCGAGTCTTGCTGCCAGCAATCCTCGTTAGTGTACGATTTGTAATTTTCTACATAAATTCATAATCGTGGTAGCTGGCAGTTGGGTGCCAGGCTTAAATTCTTCCGGTTTGAGGTTGTAGGTCTACCTTGGCGCTGGTGGTGATAGTAGCCAATCTCCCCCTAAACTTTTTTCATAAAAAAAGTCACAAATTTGGAAGAAAAAACATTAAAGTACACCAAATCATTTAAAAAATAAAGTCATTATTATAATTAGATTTGTAGATTGATTAGGCAACTGCTTTAGTTGGATCTTAATCATTATGTTTTAGTTATATAAGTTAGGGTTTTATTGATAGAAAAATAAGGTAACAGGCTGCAGGTAAGAAAAAATGAGTTTCAAGGAGAAAAGCTAAATTTACTATAGATTTTTGAATATATTAATGGTACGACTTGTGCAGACGATACCTGCTGTAAAAGCAGAAGCAAATGGCTCAGAGCAAAACCCAAGAGACCCGAGCAGCCTTAAACCTGAACTTGATCAAATTTTGCTTGAGCCTGGCATGGAAAGAAAAAGCAACAAGCTTGATCGCCAATCACCACCATCGAGAACTACTGCCGCTCCTGCTGGTAAGATTTGGTACAAAACAGTAGCAACAGCTCGCTGTCTGATAAATGCACTGGTAAATTGCTTGGAATACCCCAAAACTTGGGTGGAAGCAACACGTGACATGCTGATGGTTGTGGCAACCATGATATCAACTGCAACTTTCCAAGCTGTAATTAACCCACCCGGTGGTGTTTGGGGAGAGGATAAAACAAATGGAACTATTTCTTATTGCACCGATGATAACAGATGCTTAGCTGGAACTGCAGTGGCAGGGAACAGCTACCCAGAAGGGTTCATCATGTTCGTAAGATTGAATACCATCTCGTTTCTTGCTTCTCTCAGTGTCACCCTGTTGCTTGTTGGAGGATTTCCGCTCCAGAATCGTCTAATTATGTGGCTTTTATCAATGGCCATGTGCATCACTCTCTCTTCTATGACATTTACCTATATGCAGGCTCTCGCGTTAGTGATCCCTGATACTGAATTTTTTGAATCATATGAATATGATGATTTATTTAATACATCCAATATTGCTTGGGGTTCATTGCTTCTGTGCATCGCTTTAATCCACACCATTCGTCTTGTCATTTGGTTGGCGAGGAAGTTTTGGCGCAGGTTCAAGCATGATATCCCAAAAAGCCTCAGGAACGCTGTTGATAGTTTGACTGCACCTGCACGTCACCGTACCAACAAATTCTGAGGAGAATACGACTGTTGTTTCCTAATGTGTTGGAGGAACTACACCGGATTCCTAAAGTAAACCATCTATTTAACGATGGAGAATCTGTTTGAGTACCAGCAGGTTGTGTTTGGCTAGTGAGCTGTGTTTGCTTTGATTTGTTTCTGTTAGAATTTGTTAAGAGTGAGTCAGAGTGATAAGTTTGGATGCTTGAGAAGGTTTATGCTTAAGGTATATGTTGAAGCTACTTAATAATTAAAGATTCTGTGGAGCATTTGTTGCTGGTTAATCTGAAATCTATTTTTATTTCCTCCATATATATAAATCTTGTTGGAACGAAAGTGCCATGGGTGAAATTGTTTGAAGAGAAGTGCTCAAACTATAACTGATAGAAGATATAGACGATATATGCGGGGAAATTCTCAAAACAATTCATAGATTATGCATCTAAGAATGATACAAGACACATAACTGATGCAATGCAAAGGTATATATTAATAATTCTAGAAAACTTTGATTATTGGACACAGAATACTAATGCTACAAGACACATCTCTCTATTTTTTTCAATTAATTAACCAGAGATTTCAATGGCTTTGACATCGGCCTTTTTCACCTCTGCTTTGGGAACAGTGACGCTCAGAACCCCATTCTCCATTGCAGCCTAAATCTCGTCTACCTTCGCATTCTCCGGAAGGCAGAGGTGAAGAAGCAAAGGTGGATGAGATTAAGGCTGCAATGGAGAATGGGGTTCTGAGTGCCACTATTCCAAAGGCAGAGGTGAAGAAGCCTGATGTCAAAGCCATTGAAATCTCTTGTTAATATCGTCTCTGTATTCTGTAGTGCAGGCACCTTCACATTATGTATATCTATGTTTGATTTTGGAGTGTCAGTGGTCATCAATGTTGATATCAATGAAATGTGACGCAGCACAAGCAACAAAGGTTTCAAACGAAAACCTTGAGTAACAAGAAATCTGAATTCCACTAGAAATTAAGAGGAATTCTCTTGGGATAATTTTATTAAAATATGAGATGATCAAAAACGTTCACCAAATCTGTCTAAATACACATCTCTCAACCCTTGAGCTGCTAAGGGGGTTATTACATTAAAACTGAAAAACAGAATTTATTCAGAAAATTAACTACGAAACTTTGAATGCGGTTTTGGAAGGCCAAACGACCTCAGAATGCCAAAATCCATCATACGTCACAAAAAAAATAGTGAGTTTGACTCGTGGCATCGTTCCCTTTCCGAAATGGTATTTTGCGTCCTAATCGGAGCTTGGACGACAAATCTGCAAATTCCCGCTACGTCCTTTTTCTAGCTCAACCGCGATAAAATCTGCCATTTGTTCTACATCAGTCCCCTCCACCTCCGAAGAACTCGACCCCGAGTTATGATCTGGATAAAGGACCTCATCTTCACGGAACTCATATAAATCTGCAACATTAAAATTATTGGAAATTCCCATGGAATCCGGTAACTCAATAACATAGGCATTATCATTGATCCGTTTGAGCACTTTGTAAGGACCATATTTTTTTGGTTTAAGCTTGCTATATGTGTCAACTGGAAACCTCTCCTTCCTCAGAAATATCATCACATAATCGCCTTCTTGAAACACTTTAACACGCCTATGCCTATCTGCAGCAGCTTTGTACTTAGCATTAGTTTGCTCAAGTTTTTGCTTGACTTCATCTCAAACGGCTACTACTTCCTCAGCCAAATTTTTCGCTGCCACACTGGTTTGCTGGCCTCTAGGCAGTTTCACCAAATCTACAACATGGTTAAGTATAGCAGTATAAACAATGGAAAATGGAGACTTCCCAGTTGCACTATGGACTGCACTGTTATATGCAAACTCCACCTGTGGTAGTGCATAATCCCATTGTTTTGGCTTCTCTCCACAGACGCTTCGTACCATATTGCCCAATGTCCAGTTTGTAACCTCAATCTGGCCATCAGTCTGGGGATGGGCAGTGCTGCTACGATTCAAAGTAGTCCCAAATAGTCTCCACAAAGTGATCCAAAAATGGCTCAAGAACTTGGTGTCACGATCAGATGTAATGGATGTAGGAACCCCATGCAAGCGAACAACCTCCCTGAAAAACAGTTTGCCTATATTTGATGCATCAGCAGTCTTTTTTCAGGCTATGAAATGCGCCATTTTTGAGAACCGATCAACCACCACAAATACAGAGTCCACTCCCCTTTGTGTTCGGGGCAAACCGAGGACAAAATCCATAGCAAGATCCTGCCAAATATCGTTAGAAACTGGTAATGGCATATATAATCCAGTGTTTTGTACCTGCCCCTTCGAAGTTTGACAAATGTAGCACTTGCGCACAATAGTTCCAACATCTTTTTTAAGCTGTGGCCAGTAAAATCTCTCCTCCATCCCTGCAATTGTTTTATCATGGCCTAGGTGGCCACTCAACCCTCCACCATGCAAGTCCCGGATAAGCTTCTCCCTTAAAGAGGAAACTGGAATACACAACTGGTTGCCTTTGAACAAATAACCTTCATTAAGAAAGTATTCTGCCATTGGCTCATGATTGGTGCACTTAGTCCAAATTTCCTGGAAATCTTCGTCACCTTCATATAATTCCTTCATACATTCAAACCCCACAACTTCTTGAGTCAGCGTGACTAACAATGAAGCTCTTCTACTCAGCGCGTCCGCCACATGACTTTTCTTGCCGGAAGTATGCTTGATAACGAATGAGAATTTCTGCAAAAAAGTCACCCATTTAGCATGCATTTTATCAATATTTTTCTGGCTGTTAATATACTTCAACGCTTGATGATCTGTAAACAAAACAAATTCCTTTTGGATAAGATAGTGCTCCCATTGCTTCAAAGCTCGAACAACCGCATAGAACTCTTGGTCATAAGTACTCCACTTTTGACGTGCATCGCTCAGCTTTTCAGAAAAGAACGCAACTGGCCGCTTGTCTTGTGAAAGCACAGCTTCGACTCCCATGCCGCTGGCATCACATTCAACTTCGAATACTTTCTCAAAGTTTGGAAGAGCTAGAACCGGCGCGGTGCAAAGCTTTTCTTTTATATCTGCAAAGCTTCTCTCTTGCTCCTCTCCCCAGCTGAACCAGCCCTTCTTCAAACACTCTGTGATGGGTGCAGCAATGGAGCTGAAATGCCTCACAAATCTTCTGTAAAAGGTGGCCAAACCATGGAAACTTCGAACTTCAGAGAGACTGTCTTTGGAGCTGGCCAGTCAAGGATTGCCTTGATCTTCTTGTCATCTACCTACATACCATTCTCACCAACAACAAAACCCAAGAATAATAGCTTATTTGTGCAGAAAGTACATTTTTTCAGGTTCACATACAGCTTGTTTTCTCTCAAAACATCTAAAACTTGTCTCAAATGCACAAGATGTTCTTCTTTTGTGGTACTGTAAATTAAAATGTCATCGAAATAAACTATGACAAAAGAGCCAATAAATGGTCGAAGAACCTGATTCATGAGTCTCATGAAAGTGCTAGGCGCATTTGACAATCCGAATGGCATCACCAACCATTCAAATAATCCGTCCTTGCTCTTGAACGCTGTTTTCCATTCGTCTCCAGGTCGTATGCGAATCTGGTGGTATCCGCTTCGCTTGGAAAACACCCTTGAGCCGCCAAGAACATCCAACATATCCTCCAACCGTGGAATGGGAAACCTGTACTTGACTGTTATCTTGTTGATTGCTCGACTATCAACACACATTCGCCAAGTTTTGTCTTTCTTTGGAACCAACAAAACTGGAACTGCGCAGGGACTCAAGCTCTCCCTGATAAATCCCTTGTGCAGTAATTCTTCAATCTGCTCTCTTAGGATGTCATTCTCCTTAGGGCTCATCCGATAATGAGGCAGATTCGGAAGGCTAGCCCCAGGCACCAAGTCAATTCGGTGTTGTATGTCCTGCATGGGTTGCAGCTCGTTTGGCAGCTTTTCAGAAAGTAGTTCATGAAATTGTGACAAAATCTGCTGCACGTCTTGTGGAATGTCACTTTCTTCTCTGCCAAGCTTCAACAACCCCTTCAACACCAAGGGACAAAAATACTCCGCTTCTTTGACAGCCTCGTTCAACTCCTGCTCGCTGCTAATTAGGGTTAAGAAACTAGAACTCCTCGTCTTGGGCTCAACATATTGTTTTGAGGGCTTTGTAGTTGCCATTGCAATTTTGCGGTTGTTCCAAGAAAACAGAATTACATTATCTCGTCCGTTGAAAGTCGCATCCACATCAAATTTCCAAGGTCGCCCTAATAAAATATGGCATGCATCCATGTCAATAACATCACATAATACATCATCTCTGTAATGCTTACCAATGGACAGTGGCACACGGCAAGTCTCAGCAACACGAACCGAAGGGCTTTTTGTAACCCAACCTAGTGAGTAAGGGTTGACATGTGGCTCCGTTGATAGCTGCAAATGCTCCACCAATTTCTTTGACACGAAATTCTCGCAACTTCCATTGTCGACGATCACATCACATACCTTGTTTTTGATTGAGCAGAGGGAACGAAAAATACTATGACGTTGCCCTTCCTCCTTTGATGCCAAAAGAACTCTCTGCAAAACCAAGGTAATCCTCTCCATTCCTTCCTCAATTGCAAATTCAGCCCCTGCATAATCGTCTTCCCCGACTTCATCTCTTTCCTCATCATCATCGACTTCTTCGATAAAGTTAGCCTGCCTCCGCTCTGGACAAACGTTAGAACGATGCCCTGGTTTTTGGCAACGGTAACATATGTCCGTCATGGGCTTAGCATACGGATTCTGGGACTGATGTCGGGACTGCCCTCTGTTGAAAGTCCGGCTACTGCCTTCGTTGAAGTTTTTGTTTTGGACAACTGTTGTTGGTTTTGGCGATCCTCCAGAATTCTGCTGCTGCACTTTCCCCTTATCTCCTGAGCCACTAGAAGCACCAGTAGCATATTCAAAGGCTTCTGTCGTGTTCCTACGGAAGTTGGTTTGGCGCTTCTCTTTCTCCAACAGTTCAGCTTTCA